CGGCGTTCAGGCGCTCGTAGCCTTTCCTCCGCCAGTATCCTCTGATTCCCCTGCACACCGCGGTGGGAGGCCCCTCCATATTTTTTTTACCCAATTTGCTTTTCAATTGTCCGGTGGATTGAGCTTTGGGATTTTGTGTTTTTTCGGTTTATTTTTTAGGTGTGATTTATTGGGGGAAGAAATGAAAATTTCGTGTTGGGAGAGAGAGAGAGAGAGAGAGAGTAACAGGTGGAGGTTTGGAGGTGAGAGGGTGTATTAATAGGGAAGGAAGGTGAGTATTGAATGTTGTGCTGTGTTGTAGGAAATTATATTTTTGCCGAGTACGGGATGACTTTCGACTTTGGATCGATCTCTCGAGAAAGGCAGTTCAGAATTTAGCTTTGGTATCAAATACACAGAAAAAGTAAATAAATCCCACACACTCTAATCAGATAAGGGGTTGAATAATTATTAACTAAAAGATAATAAAAAAGCAATAATCTACCCAAAAATGAGAACGGAACAAAGATGGAGAAACTAGGGAATCAGAGACAATTAATTCAGTTCTAGCAAAGCCGGGCAATTAATCGCTCGGTTCGAGATTGACATTCTCGCTTAGACATCTAGCGGTTCGCTCTCAATAACTCTTCGTAACAAAAGATTGAACATAGACGAACAAACTCGAGCATACGACACAGGCTAATTATTCCAGTCCCAATACCTTTTCGTAACAAAGGACGGGTCATCGACAAGCACGTATAGACTATTCAATTACGAAATCATCTACCTCATGCGAGCCTAGATCTACGACTTCTCCCCTTTCGGTTCTAAAAGTCGCTAATTGACTAGAAGGAGATTAATCAACTAATCATATAGAATTGACAAAACCTAACTCGACAAATTAACATTCAATCGTTTCAAATCGCAAGATCGAAGTGTCACTCTTCGATTATATCAATCAATCAAACAAGATTACATCAATTCCTAATCAGATTAACTCACATAAGCGTGAACAATTCAGGCCCGACAAATACAAATCAAACAAGAATAATCATCTCCTATCCCTAGCAATCGGAATTAGCTACGTAAATCAAATTCAACAAACATAATCATTCTATTCAAGTCAACCATTATTCATGAATTAAACAAGAGAAAGAAATACTTACAATCAATCCAAGTTCAAATGTTGAATTCGAATTACAAGCTTAATCCCTAACTAAGAAGAAGAAGAAGAAAAATGAAAAATAAAGGTGAAGAAAGGAAGAAAAAGGATGGAGAAGATGAGAAGAAAAGAAGGGGAAGAGAGGAGTTTGGTCGTGCTTTCTCGGGACCTAGGGTTTGCACCCTGGTCGAGTGTGTAACAAATGCCATCGGTTCGAAAGATAAAACTTCTCCCATTCAAAATCCCCAAAAATCGCAGCTGTTGTAAAACAGACCTTAGCGCCGCTAAGGCATGTTAGCCGTTCGAGCCAGTACTGTGTAGCGCCGCTATCCTGTGTGCCTTAGCGCCGCTAAGGCTAAGGCTCTGGCAGCCTGCTGGACTTTGCTTCTCGGGTCCGTTTGGGTTCGTTTCAACTCGGAATTCGATTCCGCTTTTTCCTGTGTGTTCCCAACGAACTCCTCTATTTAATTAAGCTTGCCCGACTAACTTTCACTTGAAATTCGGTCCTCCCGAGGCTTCCGACCTACACACCATAAACAAAGAAAAACTGGAAAAATACACGGAAAACACACGAAAGACTAAAATAGAGCGAACCACGAAATAAACTACAAAACGAACTAAAAACCAACTAAAAGACCTAATATAGGGGAAAAAGAAAAGAAAAATAATGACGAAAAACGCAACAAAAGTGGGACAAACATGTTGTTTTATGAGTCAACATTTTTATTATTTTTTTTATTTTTTATTTTGTTTTTTTATTAATAAGTCACCTTTTTTTTTATTGATAATAAGTTGTGCAATAATGCTAAGGAGCCAACTGTTGGCTCCGTTATAACGGAGCCAACAGTTAACTCCTTAGCATTACTGATAAGTTGTGAGATAAAAGTTAGTGACCACAGAAATTCTATGGAAAAAAATGTTTATTTAAACAAAGTATACATAATTTTTATATTCTAATTTCGTACTTAAAAATAAATATAATATAAATAAAAATATGACATTTTAACTTATAAGTAATTATTTCTAGGAAAAAAAAGTATGATATTTAGCAATTAAGACTGTGGTTGATAAGGATATAAGCTAGCTTATAGCTTATTTGATTAATTTATAACTTTCTTGTATTCAAATAAGTTTGGTTTGATATGACAAACTTTTTTAAAAAGTTCGAGATTATCTAATAAGCTTCTAAGGGTAGCTTCTCAAATAAGCTCATTTCAGTTAGTTAATCAGCTAATTTTACGAAACACTTTATCATATAAGATAGTTTTCCAGCCATAAGTCATAAGCTATCAACTGTAAACTCGAAATTCACTTAAAAGTTATAAACTAACTAATCAATTAAATTTATCAAACACAATCTAAGCAACTTTATAACAATATTTGTGTTTCGATATACATACATGGTAAACTTTGAATGTAAAGTTTACAGAGGACTAACTTAATTGTTGGGGCGACGCTTTTGCAGGTCTTTAGGTGAAGAGGTTGGGGAAACTTTAAAGAAGACCAATCATCCAAACTGAGTTTATTTGATAATTCCCTATCAAATATCATAGTTTGGAAGATACTACGTACAAATGAAATTATGAAATTCATATATCTACGTACATTTTTACATATTTTAAAAAATAATCTAAATAAAATTTATTACATTCAAGTTATATATACATTTTTATTAATTAATAAAATATGACTATTTAATTACTAGACATTCTAACCACTATTATAGAAGAAAACTTGCTTTATAAGTTTATCCCATTCTCCACCTATATTTCTGTTGTTTTGTGGATGAAAAAGGTGAAGGCATTTAGGAGATGGTTGACATTTGACAAAAGGTTTCTACTTTCTACCTTTTCTAGTCTTTCTTGGCTTTAGTATTGATTGACTAAAAATAATGGATTATATATATATATATATTTTTTTTTTTATTTTTTTTTGCAAAATGGATTATAAATTTTTAATGTTGAAAATGAATTGAATTCAGATCAAGCTATAATTCACACTCCACATTCATTTTTCACAAATTTTCATGTAGCTCGAGTTAATGCAAGTGCACAATGAAAATGGCGCGACCAAATTGACGTTAGTTAATGACAATGACGGTGCTTACAAGTTGCCATCAGACATTTGTTAGCACACATGAATATGTTATAAGTTACCATCAAACATTGTTAGGCCATCTCCAACCGAAAACCCATACTCAAATCCATTTTGCAGTAACAATCACATTTTGCAGTAATTTATCTTCAACCGAAAAACTCATTTCAAAAACAAAAGAATATTCTCAGAATATTCTCTTTTACATCAACTTTTACAATTTTTCAATACTATCCACATATTTTACAACTTTATAAATTAACCACACTATTATTTTATATACAATTTGGACTTTATGTAATAAAATTAATTATAAAGTTATAATCATATACATAATAAAATCGGAGAAATAATACATTAAAAATTAAAATTTAAAAATTAAAACACACAAGATAAAATTAAAAATTACAACGTACAAGATGATAATTTAAAAATTACAACACACAAGATAAAATTAAAATATTTTTCTTTAAACCGTGATCTATCATGTATTAGTGTTATTTCAATATATAACAGTAATGTTGTTATTTAATGTTAGTGTTTTCTTTTCTTGTTAAATAAAAATATCATAAATAATATATATATTTTACATTATTATTGTAAAGTGTATAAAAATAAATGATAAACATAATATTTAGTATTTTAAATATTATACTATCTAATTTTTATAAAATTAATTCTTATAGTATTTTACATTATTATATTTTGAAGAAATATATAATTAATATTCATTAATTTGGTAATATAAATGTCTTTTTTATGTGTTAAATAAGCCTTTTTAATATTAATATGGTTTGTATTTTTTTAAAATATACTAATAATATAATAATAAAAAATGAATAAAACAAACGATAATTAATAATACTAAATATAATATATACACATACATACACATTATATAATATATTATATAATATTTGGCTTGATATCTAATTTATATTAAATATTGGATCATTATGCAATTATTAAAAGTTCAAACGCAAAAGATTTGCGTTGAAGGCAAATTTGCATTTCACCGAGGAGAGAGAAAGGAAAAAACAGATTTTGGGATGGGTTTTGTAGTTCGGTTGGGCCAAATTCCCCTTATTTTTTTGCGTTACGGTTGGAGAAGGTCTTGGCACACTAGAAACGGTTACCATTTTATCGTATAAAAGTTAAAACTCAATTTTAAAAGTGTTTTTTCTTTTTAGACTTCCCAAATGGGGGAGAATATTAGAACTATCTCCAATATTTGTTATAGAATAAATTTTAGGGAAATGTACAGGCTGGGACAGTAAATAGTTGATTAAGGGTTGCTCCGGTTCATTAAAAGAAATAATAAAAAATTCAAAAATAAAAAGGGCCGAACCACCTGTTTTAGTTCGAAACCAGCCCGACAATTAAAAAAAGGAGGAATTTACATCTCTTACCATCATAAATTATTTATATTAAACTTATACACCCAATTTAACTTTGTTTATAAAATAACTAAATCAACCACAAAATATTACAAATATACCTAATATCCAATTCAACGGTTTTTAAGATATTAAATGTGGTTGGGTCATTAATTAGTAAGATATATTATTACCAAATATCAAAGATATTATCTCTCCTGCAAAACCGCGCACGATCTCCATCTCTATGCAACCCCAATTTTCTCAAGGGCAACTGCAAAACTCGCCATCTCTACTCTAAAAAAAAAAAACAAACGGTGGGCGGCGACGGTTATGGGTTGTCGATAGAGTGCTTGTTCAGGCCACAGAAGAAGTCCACGCAGTATCACATGAAGATACGCCCGCGAAGCACCCAGCCCTTGAACATCAAGGAGAATCGAACGATAAAGGAGACTAACGGGCAAGTGAAAAAATAGGTCGAGAAAGCAGACTTTTTGGGGGAAGTGGAGAATCGGACGATCCACAAGGAAGGAGCGATCTTGGCCTTGTGCGGTGAGAAAATCGGCAGAGAGATGGCGCCGAAGATGGTGGCTAACATTTCCATTTCCGATTGATTACGTGGTATAGCTAGGAATGGTTTTTTCCGATTTTAATGACTATAGTATCTGATGAGCTGTTCTCAAATTTCGTTGTCGCCGTTGATTTTTCTTTCCATTTTCTCAAATATACTGTTAATAAACTAGAAATATACTGTTAATAAAAATGTGAAAGATATACTGTTAATAAAACGTGAAAAAAATATCTTTTTTCCGGTATATTTCCAGAATATTTCCGGTAAAATTTTCAGTAAAATTTAACGTCCTCAGTTTTATCTTCTGGTATATTTTCCAGTAAAATTTAACGTCCTCAGTTTATCTGTTAATAAAACGTGAAAGATATCTTTTTTCCGGTATATTTTTAGTATATTTCCGGTAAAATTTAACGTCCTCAGCATATGCAAAATTTTGATGAAAAACTTCACGTCCTCAATCGTTTTTTTGCAGTATATTTTTGGTTAATTGTTCTGTGGTGTGAAGAAGAGTATAGTGCAATTTCAAATTTTATTTTTTTCATTTATTTTTTTTTTTTTTTTACGTCNTGGAAACAGAAAATTGGATGGAGTCCAACTTCTATGTTACTAAATTTTAGGCATTTATGTAGTTGATTTTAGCAATTAGGTAGAGTCACAATATCTTTTCTATGGATGATAGTTTTGCAAATTTTTGTATTTCACGAAAAATCGGTCCAGAATCGGTTTGATCATAGAAGTTGTTACTAAAAAAAGTATATATATATATATATATATGGCCCAGAATCGGTCCGATCAAATCACTGGCCCATTGAAGGCCCGTTGACAACGGTCCCGAAGCGGTTTGGGCCCTTAGTCATGTCTAATGAAAAAGTGGGAAAAATCACATCTTAACATAATTTTCTTAGGAAAATTCATCATTCTGTTTATTAATTAATTCCCTACTTTAGCCAGAAATTCTATGGCGCCCATATGGGTACCATATGATGCTATCCATTCTATCAATTCCACAATGAATATTAGGCGTTAGATCGTGAAGATTATGGCACCATATGGTACCCATATGGGCGCCATAGAATTTCTGCTACTTTAGCATCTAGCTAGTAGGTGAATCCAATAAATGGAAGATGAAGGAAGGCTCTTACAAAACTTTTGAGCACCCAAAATTTGCTAATGAAATTAGATAAACAAATAATCCTAAGTATTTAACATTCTGTATGTAAACTTAATTACCCATATAATACGGGATGCTGTCAAATTAACAAATATATAGATATAAATATAAATTCTTCCAACTATTTTAATTTAGATATTTCTTTTGTTTGAACAATATTAATATCCACCAAGCATATTGTATTATGCCGTTTTTACATATTAAATCAACACTAACTATAAGCACTAAAATGGACTACTAAATAGTTTAACACAATCGAATACAAAAGCTGCAATCACATTCACATGTTCAAAACACATCCATTAAAACAACATAACAATTCAAACAAAGCCAAACACAACACAACAAACAAATCAGAAAAATGCAATAAACTCCCTAAAAACACAAACAAATCCTAATTAATTAATTAATTAATTAATCCTTCCGTCTTCACTTATTCTTCCTACCTTTCTTCGCCGTCGGAGTCCAGCCGGCCCTTTCAGTGGGGCCCACATTCTTTTTCTTCACCGCTGTCACGGTTTTCTTCTTCTTCACGGCCTCGGGCGTTTTGACCTCGCTCAGCCTCTTCGTCTTATTCTTCTTCGTCGTCTTCTCAACGGCCGATTTTCGGATCGCCGGTTTTTTTCCGGCAGCCGTGCCGGTTTTCTTTGGAGGAATTGAGGTTTTCGCCGCGGCCGGAATCTTGTACGAGCCCTTGACCTTCGAGATCTTCTCAGATCTGACGAGCCTCTTCAATTGGACGGACAGGATTTTCCGAAAGTTTGTAGGGAGCGATTTCGAGTAATTGTCCTCCACGAATTTCGCAATTGCCGGCTGGCTTGACCCAGTTCGGTCCTTCATCGTGATGATTGCTTCGCTTATCATCTGCAAAAATCGATCAGAAATTTTGAGAGCAAAACCTAACAAAACAAAAACAATATTGAAATTAATTTATGCTAAATTATGATACATAAGAAGATGAGTTTTACATGAAAATATGGCGGATGGGAAGACGGCATAGCTCTTTCAAACTGTTTATCTTTTTCTGAATTTTCGAAAATAGAGTAATTTGTTTCACTAATGAGAAAATGATGGTGTACTGTTGGTTTTGATTCAAAAAAAGGACAGATTTTTTGTTTTTGTTTTTGTTTTAAATTCAAATTTTATTTTAGCGGTTTTGAAATCGATCGGTTTTTGCTTTTGGGTGCACGAGAACTTGGAAGGGTACAATTTCCCGCCCAGGAGTTGCTTTTATTTCAACACATCGTGAAAGGATAATATCGAGCGGTTAGAATCTCAGTTATGAGATGTAAAAGGGCTATTTCCAAATTTTAAAGTGTAAGGGCTGCCGGTGGAAGGGGAGGGGTGGGGGTCGTCAGCTGGCCTCTGGTCTCAACTTCAGGAGCCATCCGTCTGGAGAAGACTTTAGGTGTTTGTTGCGGTTCCGGTTAGCCGTGGCTATACTGAAGTTTCTGGAGCAGTGTTAGAGCCAAAGTCCGAGTGGACGATTGTCTCTGAGTGTCGGGGTCGCGGTTTGTGGCTGATTGTCTCATGTGTGCAGAGGAGAGTGTTATTCTATCTATTGTGTTTTGTGTTGTTTTGTGTTGGTTTGTTGGTGTTTGTGTGTGTTGTAGTGTAGTGGTGTTTTTCTAGTCTTTTGCTGTTATTCTTCTTAGTAGGAGTTCTGTTATTCTCCTTAGTATGAGCTGGATTATCTCTTGTGAGATTTGTTTAGTTTGTTTAGTTGATTGTATCGTGGGTGAGTTAGAGTAGTATTTAGTCGCCCGCCGCAGGGTTGTCTCTATTGATTCAGCTAGATGGCTGCTTAGCTTATTCTAGTTGTTCTCTAGTTGTACTTATGTGTTTATTTTTTTATAAAATCTATCGTTTCGAAAAAAAAAAATTAAAATGTAAGAGTAATGAAGAAATGGGCTGGACTCAATAATATAAGGCCGAAATGCTAACTGGGCTATTCGAATACGTTAAAGCCCATTTGTGCAAAACAAAATCGAACAACTTAACTTACGTACAAAATTATTTCTGATTTTTTTTAATTATGAATATTCTATATTTTAATGTGTTTGAATAGTTGATTTGTTGTTGTTGTTGTTGTTGTTGTTGTTGTTGTTGTTGTTGTTGTTATTAGTATTAGCATTCATTATTATTATTAATTGTTTTTATTTAGCTTGACTTGGTGGACAAGTTAAGGAGTATGGTTTATGGGAGCTTTATTTAAAGGACTCGCCATCTATTATTTTAGGTGGTTGTTTATGAATGAAAATATGTATTTATTTCATGAGGTGTTTTTGAGATTTCAATATCATTAATAACGTCTCATTTGTACGCTTCCCTACATCAACTTTCAAATCATATCAGGCTCTGGGGGATTACAGACCGAACAAACGGGTGAATGCTTTGTTTGATCCTAGTTATGATAGTTTTTTTTATAAATACACAATGAGTGTCAAGCTGAAGATCGTAAAATGAAGGTTAATTAAATATTGTATATTAACAAAATGGATGAGAAAAAAAATGGTACATGTTTTTAAATTGAAATGACATTATTACTTAATAATAAAAATAAAAATATGAAAGTAGACAATGATATGAAAAATAAATAGGAAAAAAATCATATATAGGAAAATTTCTTATTCTAGACATTTCAAAAATATTTAAATTTTACATATTTTTTTAATTTACAATTAATTATCTTTGTGAAATATAAAAGTAGACATTGGTTTTAGTCAATGGTTCAGCCTCGATTCACTTGGTGAAATAATCCACCATCACTTTAAACAACTTACGATGTCCCGTTACCTGAGGAAGGGGACCAACAATATATATCAATTTCCCATTTAGTAAAAGGCAAGGGCAAACTTATTGGGACCATGTTCTCAGCCGCCCAATGGATTAGTGGACCGTGTTGCTGGCATCTTTTACACTTGCGCACGAGATCATGCGCCATTTCCTTCATCGAGGGCCAAAAGTATCAAGCTCAGAGCACCTTCCCAGCCAGTGACCTGGCCTTCATGTGATGGCCGCAGCATCCCTCATGGATCTTTTTCAATACATATTCCCCTTCCTGCTCAGAAATGCACTTCAGGTGCAGTCCCATGTACGACTGCATATACATTACTCCATTTTGCAAGTAGAACCTTAAATCCCTTGTTCCAATTGAATTTCCCCTCAATTGGTTCTCCCAACCATTTAGACAAATGGTTGAATATTAGTAGATGTATTCTTATGGTAACAAACTACACCAAATTTCACATGCAATGCAAAATAGAGATAATAATAAATTATTAATATAGGTTCGTTATGAAGATCTATCAACCCTTGAAAAGAAACAATAGCAGAGCTGTATGGTTGGGTGATATTATGAACTCGCACGTCCCATTATTTAATAATATCTTGCCTTTGTTTTATTATTACTATTATTTTTGTTTTTTGGGCTCATAAACCATCAATTTTTTCATCTCAAATCCAAAATATCTCAAATTTCTATCACAACCATGGCAGTACCAGAGTGTTCTCAAGGCCGGCATAACAAGAGGGGAAATGGGGCTGGAAAGCACCTTGTTCTGTTCCTCAGGCGAGGGGGACGGCTCTTGAAGCATACTCTAAATTCCACAGCACGTCTCGTCTCCCATTGTGGGTCTATCCACCCCGTATTACTTCTCGGCAAACTTGTTCATTGAGTCAGGATTAATGTGTTCCAGCCAAGTGGGGTCAATTAATTATCTTGTCCAGTAACCCCTTCCTCTTCCACTGCATTGGACTGTGAGGGGGTCGTTGAGGACAAAGTCGGCAAAGTAGGCGGAGGTGGAGAGGTCGAGCCCTGTGATGGCCGACTTGCCATTGAAGTAAAGGTCGTTTGGGGACTTGCTCACAGGAGTCTATCTTCATGTTCAAACTTGGAACACCGGAGATTAGCCACCACCGGAAATTGCTCGCTGTTCGAATTTGATTGTTTCCTACTTTCCTTAATTTAAAATCAAATTGCTCGCTTGCCCAATGTGTTCCGCCGTATTCCATTGTATCATACTTTCCTTATTACTATTACACCACTCTATGGCGGTGCGCTCCTCCTCCGTTCTACAAAGTACAACCTCCCAATTATTGCTTCTTTTGTAACCATAGTCTGTTTATAAATAGGACTTCAACTTCACTTACATAGTTACATTTTTCAGGTTACTTTTTAGCAAAAAAAAAAAATATAATATGTAATAAACATGCAAAAAGGCGAATAAGAGAAAATTACTTTTATGCTCACGAAGTGAGGTATGTATCCAACTAATTTGATATATATTAATTAGTCCACGGTGATTAGATGACCAATTTCAAGAACAATTGAGTTTTGTTGATACATGGTGGATATGTGTTAACTGATAATAATAACAATAATAATAATAATAATAATAATAATAATAATAATAATAATAATAATAAAAGGCAAATAATGAAACTACTATGAGTTGGGGAAAGGTAACAATAAGCAAATCGTGGCACATCAATAATAAAATCTCCAAAATATATAAACTATATGCGAATCGATTCACTTATATTTAATTTATTATTTACTATTAGTTTATGGAACACATGAATATACTTTTAAAATTTTAAATATATTATCTGCATAAAAGCTACACAAATCTCATGCACAAGTAAATAAAATCAACTACGCACCAAAATTTGAACCAATTGCCATACATACATAATGAATCATCAAAATCCACAGCTAGATTTGTGATGTGATCTTTCCACACAAGCAACACTCTATATTCTTTTAAAAAAAATAAAAAAAAAAAATCAACCAAATAATGAAATAGCAATCTTTAATATTTCCTTCCAATTTTTATCCTATTTATTTCATTCTCTTATTCCTTTACCCTGTATAAATAGAGCTTCATTCACTCATCTTCACAAAAAAATCTAATCTCCATCGATGGCGCCAATTTTCTACTTTCTCTTCTCACTAATCCTTTCCAACTCCGCTTTTGCAGCAAATACGGGAATACCTTTGTTGCCCGAAAACCATAAGGAACATTGTTCGGACCCAAACCTCTGCCCGCCTCCGCCACCTCATCATAAAAAAAAACATTGCAAAGATTCGCCTCCGCCTCCGGATGGTTCCGGAGTTATCTATCCGCCGCCGCCCGGCATCTGCCCACCCGGTGTTTTATGCCCCGGAGGAATCTGCCCGCCTGGCGCTATATGCGGTTTGCCGCCACCTCGTCGCCCGACCTCGACTGCATCACCTTCTATGACTTTCGTATCGTCTTACACCGTTTTTTCTTTTGTTTTGGCGTATTTTGTTTTGTCGTCTGCCGTTCGTGGCTAGAAGCTCAATCGATTGTTTTGTCCCGCCAAAAATAATTTTTGAATATTAGATTAGTTTTGTATGCATGTTCTAGTGAAGTTTAATTTTTTCATTAGTTATAAAATGTAATTTTATTTTTCTTTTCTTGCAATATATAAATAATCGCTTGCTTCTTAATTTGTTCTTTTTCTTTCCTAGCTAGCTCTCTCTTAGATGCTGAATTGTGCGAAATAACAAGTAAAAATTAAAAAGTACAGTTTTGATTGTATGTTTAGCATGTTATGTTTCAACAATGTGTTACGCTTAAGACGACTGGATTATACTATACTCATGCAAACGGCGCGCGGGCCGATTGCAGAAAAGTATGTTATGAATAATTTCATGTTTTATAATTTAATGCAATTATTACTTAATATCTTGTAGCATTCATGTTTTCGTGTTTTTGTATCTCAACCAACGAAAATTCTTGTGGAGTTTCTGAATCTAAGTGATTTGGTCTTTCAATCCATATATTTTAAGGCAAAACATGTAATGTATTTTCAATTGCAGTTTCGTTTCAGAACATTTTAGATTATTAAGTTTAGCATAATATATTAATAATTTTAATTTTGTGTAACTTTCACATTCAGTTTTACCTTTGGATGATTATTAGTTTTCGCTATTTTTTTACTAATAATAATTTACTAGAACAATAACACGCGTGTTGAATTAGAAAGTTTTTGTACAAAATATTAAATATTTTATTTTTTTTAAACTAAAATAATTTAATTTTATATAAAACATTACTTTGAGTTTTAATTAAATTGTCAGATTATATTTTTTTTAATCATAATAATTAAACACCCGTACATTAAATGAAAATGTCAACTCGTGTTAAATTTTTTTACTTATATCATATAAAAATATTGATATTATTTACTATTACATAAATACAAAAATATATATCTTTATAAATAGAAATAATATGGTGATACTCATATGCATAAGTGTTGAATATGTTTATTTAATGTTAAGCAAAATAGATTAATTTTTTTTACTTAATTAGATGTCTAATACATCAAGTGTCCTAATAGTCGTGTTTCACAGTTTTTTTAACTTTATATGTAATTTTAAAATTTAGATAAATAATTATTTATTTTTATTAGATTGACAATATACCAATTAGATTCGAAATAAATATTATTTCTAAAAGAATACATACCAATTTATATTACTTTATAATATAATTTATAGTTTTATTTGATATAATTTAATTTAGTTTGATAAATAAATTTAAATTCTATTTATAAGGATATATATTACTATTTTGTATTTTATATATATAATATGGATGTCAAATCGAAAATCGTTAAACATAGTTAATTTGATATATCATATATGAAAAATAAAATACAAACAAAAAAGTTATAAAATCTTAAAATAAGAAGAAGAAATATTTATAAAAATTAATGAATGAATTATATAAGAAAATGAAATGTAATGTATGGTAATGTAGGAAAATGAAACATAAAATAGTTTTGTTAACTAATTGTAGAAGTAAAGAATGAAAAATCAATCATTAATTTAGTGTGATAAACAATATTAATTTATATCTAAGCATGATTTTTTGCCGAAGCATGAGATGACGGAATTCTAGTGTCTACTAATAATAATGTTTGATATGTGAGTCTATCAAACTCGAAACTGTTGGCCCGATCAATCAGACAATCTATTATTGGTTTCGTAATTCAGCATTTGTTCATCTTTTAGACATTTTTAAGATAAAATATTTATAATAATTTAGATAATATCTTTTATCATGATTTCCCTTTGTAAAGAAATTTGTAAATGACCCCCTTGTGTCGTTTACTCTAGATTTTTACAAAAAACTTCAATTCATTTTAGATTTTGCATTTAGGTACAAATTAACATAAAACTAAAACTATCAAATTAAAAATCTGAAATAGAATAAAAACCAAAAAGTTAATATACCAAACCAGACCAAAAACCGAAATAAATACAATTATAAGTGCCTGTTTTGTTTTTTCATTTTCTTTTATACTATTGAGGGTATATATATATATATAGTAGCAATCGAGTTTATGATACTCAAGTTAAAATTCGAGCTTTTTATCAAGTTAAACTGTTTATCAACATTAATGAGTCAATTTTGAATTTTATATTAATGAGTTAATTTTGAATTTTAAAAATTACAAAAAAAAAAATCCCTTTTTTCAAGCTTAATTCAGGAATGATTAATTGTGTTTAGCTGAATTCACGAATTATTGATTTTGTTTAGCAATTGTAATATTGAATTATTGATTTTGTTTAACAATTGTATTATATATTTAGAATGGCTGTGAATAGTTACTTGTTCATTCATTTTAATTATTTTCACCTTCATTAATTTTCACAAACTCATTTTTATTTTCATTTTCATTTTCAAAAGAAACACATGCACAAAGAGGAATGCCTCTGGTGTCGTGCCACCTTCCCACTTTATGATGTATTTTACTATAATATTTTGATAAAATATATACTAATAAAAATATGACTATAATACAATATTATTATAATTTTTTATATAAATTGTTGGTAATTTTTTATATAATATGTATTAGTAAATACTGTCTTATTTAATTTAAACTAGAGTATATGTAATAATTTAGAAAAATTATCAGTGGTTAGGATTCAAATTATCTATATTAGCTCAATATATACTATTTTTATATTCTAGACATGTGATATTAAATACTCTAGACATGATTTTAGAATTGATATAAGATTAACAAAAAAATCTACAAGATTGAATATACACATATGTTAGAATTTATTTGAAATAAAGATGAATAAAAAATAAATATTTAAGGTAGACTATAGAGTCAAATGTAGTGCGGACAAATAATTGCAGAATCCATTGTTTCATAGTTTTGTAGCCATAATCTGTTTATATAATAAATAGAGTTTGATTGCGGGACAAATACAATAAATGAGTCATGTCATCTTAAGCTTAAACAATAATAGAGTTTGATCATCTATTTTCTACCTCTTTTAATCAACATTATTTTTTTAAGCAGAACATTAAATATGAGCATGTTAGAACTAACATGTAAATTAATTAATATATTATCTCATTAACGCATTGATACTAATATAAATTTTATTTTAGTATATATATTTATTCTTTGATATAAAAAAAATAACAGTTTTACTTATTTTTGTTCATCATATAATACTTCATTATTATTTTATTATAAACTTAGTAGTCATATAATGTTGTTATTTTTTATAAAAGTTGTAGAAGCAGTACGTCTTCTTATTCTTTTTATTTTATGTAATGAAAATTATTTAATGTACGTTAATATTATTTATTTATGCAATAAATATAAATTATGTAAATAATTTTAAAATTAAAACTGTATAAATATTTTACAAAATATACACACATGTTTTTTTAGAATTTAATTTTGTATACTAATTAAACAATTTTGATTTAGCAAATATCAAAAATTCAATCCCTTCTATAATCAAGAGATTTTTCTAATTTGCATCATAAGACTTTATAGTTTATTTAACATACTATGCAATGTAAATATATTTTAACGATAAGAAAAACATGGTTGACAATACAAAAAAATTTTAAATAATATTTAATGTATTTTAATTTTATATTTTGACCATTAGTAAAACTATTAATGTATCTGGTCAATGTCTCTTAAATGTTAAATTATATTAGTTTGAAGAATAATTTATTTTTTATATATAATGAAATAAAGCTTAAGAAAAAAATATATTAGTAAACATGAATTCATCAACTTGATTTCACTTGATTAATTGAAAAAAAAAATTATACCTAACATGTTACGATTTTCTATATATATTTTAGGATATCTATGAAAAAAAATTAATATTACGTTAGAACTTAAAATATATCTTTATATTTAGCTTGACCAAAATATTCTTAACACGAACGACGGAAAACCATCTTATTTGAAAACGTGTATATGGAAATGGAATGAATTAATGCATATATTTAAAATATTTCCAAAAAAAATATAGATTAAATGCTCCTATTTTTTTAGCTACTATTTTTAATAAATGATTATTCTTATCATATATATATATGAATATTTTAAATTTGTTTAGAATGGTTGTCTAATCATTAGTAGGAAGATAACCTCTCATCACATCTCATCAGTTGTACAATACTATTAGTTGTGTAAATGTGTGTACGTATCCACCTAGCGCTACAAATGAATCAACAGCTCACAAGCGCTTCACTCGAGCATTTCAAATGTACATAAATACTCATTTCACATTTTCTAATTGAAATTTTGCAGCCCAATTTGAGCAAAGTTCGAGCATATTTGTATTTTGTTGGCGAGTCAAGTCGAGCCGAGCCTCGACAAAGACAAGCTCGTCAAGCTTGAGCAGGTTTCAAAAATAAAGTCAATGCTCGACTTAGCTCGATTCATTTATACCTCATAACCAACAATGAAAAACTAGGCACAATCTACCCCCATAAAGTACCAACCACAGACAAAGCTACCACAAAAACAAAACACCCAAAATAAAATTCCAAGGAATATTAACTAATAATTAATTAATAACCCTACTAAAAAAAGCACCGTCAAGAAACAATCACTGTTAGGGATTTCATCAACATTCGCCTCATCCTACCACAAATCGATTAGCATTANAAACCCATCATCAAAGCTACAATTAGTTAGATTAATTCCCCTTTTTTTCTGGAATTTCAAGGTACAAACGCAGCAGCTAAAGGTACCACGTCACTAAGCATAAACCGACCCACAGGACAAAGCCATGAGCACCACGGCCGCGCGCTCCTCTTCCCTCAGCTCGCCCATCAGCTTGCCGGACCTCTTCAAAATCGACAAATCGCCGCCGGCGAACACCATAAATCGCGTTTTCAGGCTACCTCGTGCGCCGCTACTCTGGCCGGCGACGTTGCTTCTCTTCTTCTTCTTGAGTGGCTTTCCCGTGTCAAGTCCGAGCAGCTGCCGCCGCTTTTTGTTGTACTTAATCCCACAGGCATTGCACAGTGACTGCAAAAAAAATAAACAAAAATTTTCAGCGAATATGCAAAAAAAAGTAATAAATCAATTAATTAATTTTTTTCCTCCATTTTTGTTTACCTTGGGACCAGCTGGGCCTCCTCTCCAGAGGGGGGTTTTCGTAGTGTGGCAGCCGCTGCAAGTTTTCTGGAAAAAGAATACAAAAATGAATAAAAAGTTAAAATTACTGGAAAATTACAAAAAATAAATAAAATTAGTGCTGTAGTTAACCATAAAATGTATGATCAATTGATCTTTTTTTTTTTCTCACCTTATCCACTTTCAGATCCATAGCGTGTGGAAGTTTGATCAGGAAATGAGATAACATAAATAAACAATTATACTTTTAAAAAAAAAAAAAAAAAGGAAGAAAAAAATCAAAAATTGGAAAAATGGATCAAAATTAAGGGAAAAAATGGAAATTAAGGGTTAAGATTTTCATGATTTTGAGTTTTTGTAGGAAAGATAAAAGGAGGGAAGAGAGAGTGTTCAATTGTGTACTGGGCCGTTGTGGTGACTGTGTGACTGTGTGTTGTGTGGGCTGATTTTGGGTATTTTATATTTGTCAAACGCAAAAAATGATTGGAATCCACGAAACCCTAGCTGACCATCAAAGGTTGTATTGACCATATTGCCCCTCGATTTCAAATTTTGAATTTGGAGTGAGATTTTAATTTAATTTTTAGTTTTTTTAGGGGGGAGTGAAATTATTTTTGGTGGAGATCAAATGCAGGAATGAAATGAATGCATCCTTCTCTTCAAAATGTTTTTTATATTGTTGATTGGTAGGAGTAAATGAAATTCATTTGAATGAGAAATTTAATTTACGCCAACTAAGTAAATAAGGCGGATTTTTATTCCAAGCAAATGATTAATCATCAATATATAGTCATACAACATATAAATTTTAAAAATATAATAAGGCGGATTTTATTTCAAGCAAATGATTAATCATTAATATATAGTCTTACAACATATAAATTTTAAAAATATACTAAAATTTGATGTGACGTGTTTGATTGACCTTGTTTAAATTTTAAAAATATACTAAAAATATGTTATTAACTCGACTCGACTCTTTAAGGTTAAGGTCAGCTCAAATAATGAGTCAAGATGAAATTTGTTTAGTTAACTTGCAGAGCAAAATTAAGGATTTTATATAGTTGATAGCTCGACTTGTTAAGGATTGAATTAAGCTCATTGAGGCTCAAACTGACATTGTAAATATAGATATATAAATTGGTTTGCAATCAAGTTCATTCACTGATCCACTTGAGTTCACGAGTTGAGTTCGCCTGAAGTCGACAAAAGAACGAGCTCAAAATTAAGTATATATCAAGAAGCCAAGTTAGGCTCAACTTGTTTATAGTTGTATTATTTTAATATTTACTTGGAATAATATATTTAATTTATGCAACAAAATAGTTATTTGTCTGTACGATGGGCAGGCAAAAAGAGTTAAGAAATGACAAATCATTAGAGCATCTCCAACCGTGTACATGACTTGTAGTATATGTGGCAATGAAATAGATGGTCTTCCATCCACGTGGAACAAATAGAGGTCCAACCCCATAAAACATTTCCAATGTTTTATTCTATCTTCATGTTCTCCATTTACTAGTACGTAGCCCGTGCGATGCACGGGTAAACAATATGACTTTCATAGCATGTAAAATTGTATTATCACACGTGCATAATAAAATCTACATCTTAAGTTCATATTTTATGTTTTTTAATGGAATAAAATCCTTCATTTTAGGGGTCATGTGTATTTAATATGTCCAATTTATCTACATATCGGCAATTTAAATTTTAAATTTGAAAATAACCTGAATCTATGATTGCAAAATGTCGTTTAATAATTAAATCAACCACAACTTTAGGATTTGGTATTTTGAAATTTAGAAAAAATAAAATCATTAATCTATGGGAGATATGTGATAAATCTATCAAAATCTTGTGTACATCACGTTTTACAATTAAAACAATTTAAATATGGAGGTTATTCTTATTTCTAATCTCTGATTTAAACAAAGATCGTAAAAATTTTGATCGTTTCAAAATTAGACCCGTGTATTATTTTTCATTATAAATAATTGTCAAATAAAACAATTGAATCAGCCGCAATTTATTCTTTTAATTGAAACAACCCGATTTGATGGTTAGAAAAAATATTTTTAAAAGAAATAAACAAATAAATTTTTTATTTTTTATTTTATGTTTTTACATTTAAATTAGCTGTAATTTTTTTTAAATAAAATCTCTTAATCAAAACATATGTATTAGCCGATAGTATAGAAAAAAAAATTTCCGGTATTTTGAAAATAAAAAGTATATTTTTATGGTTAGAAAAAATAATACATAATTTTTTTTGTTATTAAATCAGTCTTAATTTTTTTATTAAAAAAAGCTGCCAAGCAAAGCAATTGTATTAGCCGAATATCTGGTTTAAAATTTGGAGAATATAATTGGCCGATATTTAATTGAATTAGCAGTCGTGATGTACATTTTTATTCAAATTTAAAAATAGCTTCTTGTAACCAATAACCAAATTTAATTGATGCAGCCCGTGCATTATCAGCTTTTGATACGCACATCGTGTCAAATCATCGCAAATATTCAATAGACCAAATTTAAATAGCAGCCCGCTCCTCATTTTAAGGACAACATTTAATATTGTCCGTTTTTTATTAAAAAAGATTTTAAAAAGATACTATAAATGGCATGTAATTAATGTTGACCAGTTTTGACCAAGGATTGACTTACTATTTTTTATAAATGGTAATTCTTATTATATATATATATATATATATATAAATTTTGTATTATAAATAAGGTGGAAAAATGATTCATAAGTCTAGAATGACTTCTACATGTAGAAGGACTTCTAGAATGATTGTTTCTCTTTCATGCCACATAATCACAAATAGAAGTGAAAAAATCGTTGTTAAAGAAGTTCTTTTATCAGATGACTTCTACAATTCAACAATTCACATACGGTTGGAGATGCTCTTATAGCATCTTCATTGGCATCATGTCTATTTTGATATATATGTTGTGGAGAAAGGAAATAAAAATATTTTATCTCCAATGGTGAATGTCAATTGTAGAATAAATTGACACATGTAATTTAATAATTGATTGGTGGAGATAGAAATATAAAATAAATAATATAATATAGAGTAGAAGATGTCTAGAAATCTTTCTACATCTAGAAAGACTTCTAATATTTTAAATGCCACACTGAATTATTGGTGCTACGTGACAATGAAATGAAGCAATGCACTAACTCGTTGAAAATGTTCTTAGAGCAATTAAGCTTAAAAATAATATAAATTCATAAGTTTGTCGGATAGTACCATACAGACTATATAACTCAAAACCCCGGGTTGACTGAATTTGCTCCATGGTCAAAGCTCAAAAGTAAAAAAAAATGCTTTTTTAGATATCTCGAGGTGGATTAATAATAAAGATGTAACTATTTAGTTCATAACCACTACACATTCAAATTGTAGTTAGATTTGAATTTTTATTGTGGCGGTTAATATTAATTTGAATAATTTAACCCGACTAAGGATATATAATTAGTGAAAGAAAAAATAGAAATATAATACATAATAATATAATCTATATATATATATATATAATAAGAATTACTATTTACTAAAAATAGTAAAGAAAAAAGTCTGGAAATATTAATTACATTATATTTTTAGAATGTTTATTTTTTTATTTTTGTAATAAAAAAATTAGACCGCATTTAATGCTACCATAAATCATGGAATTTGTTATATTTAAATTTCAAATTTCAAAAAAAAAACTTGCCTAAGTGTATTTTAATTTTTTTTTTAAAATTATTTAAATCCCAAAGATTGAAATAAAAAAATTCATCTTTATCTTACTAACAAATATATAATAGTATATGATATGACGAGGGCAACACGTTAGATTAAGAAATAATTTGAGTATTTGTTGGCAGATAAAGCAAAATTAACGAGATTAAAATCAATTACCTAATTAATTAGTATATGAATAATGAAGATAAATAATTATATTTCCATGAAATTGGTAAAAAAATAAAAATTAATGGATGGATTGGTACAAAATATGATAAAAGAGATATAATCAAAATTACTTGACATGCGGTACATTACATATCGACAATGTTGATTGTAATAATATAAAACTGGTATACAAGACATATAGACAATATCTACTATATATGTAAATATTCTCTCATAGAGTTGTGAGATATTAGATTGTAATACCTATTATTTACTCAAATATTTTTTTAGATATTTTTTTTACACATTCAATACTCACACACATAATATTTTAGATACTTTTTAGATTTTTTTTTGTCCATTCTATACATTAAAGTTTATATATATCTTTAGGTGCTTTTAGACATATTGTCTTTACAAAATAGTTTAGTGGAAGTTTAGGTGACTTAACATTTTTTAAGAATAATGAAGAATATTTTAGATATCGTTACGTGTGTTATTTTAGATATTTTTAATACTTTAAACATACATGTTTTGTGTTCTGTTGTACATGATAATTATATATTGTACAACAAACCGATATACGTATATTATATCACATTTTAATCCCAAATATATAGTTTATTATTATTATTTAATGCTATTTACCGCGTCTTTAATTTATAATTATTTTCTCGTGCATCGCACGGGCTACACACTAGTATTATAGAAGATGTATAGAAGTTTTTCTACATCTAAACATATTGTGACATTTTCAAGGTCATAAAAGATTCTTTTAGTCACGATGGAATAGAGTAGTCCATGGACTAAGAGATACTCTACAATTATACTCCATGAAAAAGAAGACTATTACACGTTAAAGCAATTTGTATATGAGAGAAAATGGTAGATTTCACATGTCACTACACTTTCACATTTTGATCAAAATACGGGTGAATTTTTGTTTTGTGTTTTGATTTAATAGTGAAAAAATCAATTATAGTAGTGCACTCACCGATAAGGTCAAATTATTCACACGTGACTACACTTTTNGTGTTTAACAACTATGGATTTATATGTGTTCATCTAATTGTGAAATTTTAAGTGATTGTTGTGCACTCTCCAATAATATCAATTTTTCATTGACAAACTGAAAACTTCTTCTGAAATACAAGAATTTTGATGTTATTGTTTGTAGCCATGTGCACACACACTCACGGAGGTTGACGGTAAATAATTAAAAAACTTTTGATACTGACAGTCTCGATTTCTATATGCCATGAAGGTACTTTCAATATCGTTTAAGTGCACCATCAAGGAGGTTGTATGAAGTCTTTCAATTCTGTCCAAGTGTACTTTGATTATTGTCAGCTTCACCGACTTTAAAACGTTCTCAAGATGTTCCAAGTAGATTGTCACAATTTTCGGGTCGGACAAATCAAAAGATTGAGTAGTGGCTTTATGCATCTCTTGCAAACGAGAATATGCAAAATGAATATGATTAATTATTGAATAAAGGTGAAAAAATACAAGATGATTAGGAAAATGGTGGTCAAGTTTATACTTGTTTCGGTCGTTAGTTCCACTAAAAGTGGCACTTAAAATAGCTCAGTGTTTTCGA